TAAAATCGGAATAATATTTCACTTAATTTACAAGACCAAGCAATAAATGATGCAAAACACACACAGATACATGAGCTGAGCACATTTGCCAGGTATATAATAGGCACCAGATAAATATAACCTTCTTTAACCTTCCTCCTTCTTCTCTTACCAAGACAATTGTCCTATGCTCAATACCTTCTTCAATTAGTCACCAGGGTCAGGGCTCAGTCTGTGGTCAGAATTAGGGCTCAGTAGATGACTAGAGCTCAGTTTATGACCAGAGTCAGGACTGAGTCTGTAACTAGGGCTTGGTCTATGACTAGAGTCAGGGCTCAGGGGATGACCAAGGTCAGTCTCAGTCTGAGGCCAGGGTAAGGTCTCTCAGGCTTATTCAAGAAAACCAAAGATCCTTTGAGTATGATGAACTCACTCTGATCTATGTCCTGCCCCTCCCATCCGGGCCTGGGCCAAGCATTCCCCACGTACATAGTGGGAACAGCCATTCCCTTCTCAGTACACTCTCTGTCCCTGCTCATTAGCTCTGGGTAGCATATAGTCAGAGAAATACCTACCAATTGGCAACTCAGCCATCTAGCCTTTGGCCAATGGTCAGAACCTCACAGGCTGTCTCCTGGCTGGCTCCTTCCCCACACTCTGACCACTGGGGCATCCCCACCTGTTGGGGCCACTGCCTTTCTGGTCCCTGCTGTGCTCTGACTGGCAGATCTCTCTGTGCCAAGATGGGAAGCAGGTGCTGGGCACTGCTCAGGGACCAGGACCTTGAGCCAGGCCCAGACCAGTTAGGGAAGACTCCAGGCCTGAGCACTGGCCTAACAGATTTGGGTGTGGAATCTGTCTTGGGTGGTACAGCTTGGACTCCTGTTGCCTCTAAAGAACTGAGACTGTTTCCCAGGCCAGAGCACAAACCAGGTTGGCAAGCCTGGAGCAGCATGGAGGCCAGACCTTATGTCCTGATCATGAGAAGATCAAAACTCAGAGAGGGGCAGGGACTGGCCTGAGGTCACACAGGGAGTCAGGGGCAGCAGACCAGACTCTGGGTTTCCCTGGTCCCATGCTGGATTCTCTCCATTGCTCTGAGGCTTTCTTCTGGTAGGTCTCATGTGCCCACTGTGAGTGCTGCGAAGGGTACCCCTCGCTTCTGTGTCCCGTCTCTGTCAGCATCTCTACAGCCCTTTGAGGCAGGTTCCCAGGTGAGGTACTCAGGCACTGAGAGGTGAAGTAACTTTCCCAAAGTCACAGAGAAAGCTAGAAATGGGGCCAGATTTATTCATTCATCATTCAGTTTACTTATTCATTCAATATTTGTTGACAGCTTCCTATGTTCCAGATACTGTGTTGAATAGTAGGGATGGGATGGTGAGCAAAACAGACCTGGTGGTTGCTTATGGAACTAGCGGGGCACAATGCGGGGAAGCACTGAGGAAGAGGAAGCTAGCAATCACACACAAGCACACAGAACATGTGAAACTGCAACACTGGTGGCAGTTGGGGGGGGGATTTAGCATGGTCTGGGAAGTTTGGGAGGGCTTTCTTGAGGATGCGATGACTGAGCTGAGATCCAATGAAGGGAGGGGAAGTAGCGTGTAAAGGCCTAGGGTGGGAGGGAACAGGGTCTGTTCAGAGGACAGAGAGATGTCTGGAGTGGATAGAGCAAAGACAGGGAGGTGTGTGTGGGGTCATGTTGAGGGACCAGCTAAGACCTACCCATGCTGGACCTGGAATCCTCTTTACTGTGGGAGCAATAAGAAGCCATTGGAGGGTTCAAAGAATGGGTTCCTTTGGTAGTACGGTACCACGGTATCAAATAGTAACCTGCCTTTGAAGGGGGTTTGAAGAGGGGCAAGTACCAAGAGCAGAGGAATAATGTAGTAGCCTCAGGTGGTGGAGCTGATGGAGAGAAGCAGCCAGATCAAGATAGGAGAGAAATGACACAACTTGCTGCTGGATTGGATAGGGTGAGAGAATGTGATTACAGATGCTGGGGTGGGGATGAGATCATGTGGAGAGTATAGAGAAAGAAGAGCAACTGAGGGTTGAAACCTGGGGTAGGTCAACCTTTAATGTCAGATGGAAGAGATACCGGGGTGCACAGAGAGGAAAGTAAGAGAGGGGGCATATTGGAAGCCCGGAAAAGAAAGGGCTTCAAGTAGAATGAGTGGTCATGAGGGGCTAATGCCACAGAGAAATCAAGAAAGGTGAGCTGACTGTTGGATGTAGGGCCAAGCATGATGGTCACTGGGGACTTTAGAAAAAGCTGTTTTAGTGGAGAAGTGGGGTCAGATTGGAAGCAGGCCAGTGGCTCAGATGGAAAGAGGCAGAATCTCAAGATGAGCCAAGTGGACCTGCTGGCCTGGGGTAATCTCCACCGGAGGATACACCTTATTACCAGATTGGCTCAAGGCTGGAGCCTGCATAGGGGGGAAGTGGCCACATCCCAAACTAGAGAGGCCCCATTTTTGGTCCTGACCCCTAGCGGCTTCCCACTAATGGGCTGAATGAATAAATAGTTCTGGTCCTTGTGCTTCAACCCCAACTCCACCCTCTACCACCATGGGCCTTCCTGCTGGGGATGCAACAAACCAAAAGGGGAGGGCAGAACTGGCAGACACAGGAATCCCCAGTGCCCCGCCTGAGCTGAGAAAATGCAGGACGACAGAGATCAGGAAACTAAGCCAGGAGACCAAGCTGAAGGCAGCAGAAAACACAGGCAACAGAAAGGTGAGGAAAAATATTTTGAAAAAATATGAAATTATATATATTTAATGTACTATTTATTATTATTTAATAGATATATGTAATATACATTTTAAGCATCAAAATATTCATCGTGAGAAAAATAAAAATTTAGGAGTAAGCGATGCTCGCTATATGCCTTGTTACTGCGCGTCTGGAATCAGACAGAGGGACATCACGTTCTTTCCAGGGCTCAGGGATTCGGAGGGCCTTGGTCCGACCTCTGGGGTTGCTGCCTGGGGCTGGGGGCTCTCACTGAAAGCTCCTTTCGGGTCCCACCAGCTGGGCCTTCCATCTCAGAAACCCCTCTGCTTCATTTGCATCTCATTAGCACCTAGGGCTGGTGGTCGCTCAGCCGCCGGGAGGCCTGGAACGAAGCTCCCTGCCCCCTCCCTGGGGGGAGATGGGTACGGCAAGGCGCCCCCCGCCCCCCCACTCTACACCCCTCCGTTCCCACACCCCCGCCCATACCCCCTACACCTCCCCACCCCTTACACCCCCTGCCCCCACCCCCTACACCCCCGTCCCCACCCCTTACACCTCCCTGCCCCCACACCCTACATCCCCACACCCCGCCCCCACACCCTACACCCCCACACTCACACCCCCACACCCGCCCCCACACCCTACACGCCCACACCCTACACCCCCACACCCGCCCCCACACCCTACACGCCCACACCCTACACCCCAGCTCCAGCCCGCACAGCTCCAACTGAGCGTTCCCATGGCAACCGGGTGCCGGCGCGGGTCGTGACGCCTGCGGAGGAGCAGCGCGGCAGCCCAGCTCCACGCCCGCCGCCAGGCTGGGTTGGTGATAGGCAGGGCCTCCATCTCCCGAGATGATGGGCGATAATTGGTTTATGGAAATAGCTGAGCGGAGAAGGCGAGCTCCCCGCCAAGCCCGCGCTCTGCCACCTGTCCTTCCTCACCGCGGAAATGGAGCTGGGGAGGGGAGGGGAGTGGGAGGGTCGGGGAGCTGGGCGGGTGGAGAGGGAGCTTTTGAGACAAGCAAATGTTTCACCTGTTGGTCTATGGGGGTGGGGGGTTGTGGGGGTGCAGTAGTTGTTATAGTAACCGGGTGTTCACCTCAGTTGCTCCTTGGCTTCTAAGTCTGTGCTCAGGCCTATGTTGGGTGCAGTGTTGGAGGAGACCTGGGGCCTGTCCTGGGGAGCCCTAGTTTGGGGAATACAGGAGTAGCTCATAACTTTATTTATATAAAGTGCATGTGACCAGTGTTGACACTGCTGTGGGGCTCCAGAGAAGGGAGAGTCAACTCTGGTGGCTGCCTGAAGGAGGAGGCATCATAAGCAAGGCTTTGACGGTAGGATTTCAGCAGGTGTTGGGAAGAGGGCTGGGGCAGGCATTCTCCAAAAGAGAAGGTGGGGGAAAGCCAGTAGGCAGGCACAGAATGATGCTGTTATTGGTGGAAAAGGGGAGGTGTAGTGTCTACAGAAGGGGCAAGGGATGAAAAACTTGTGGGTCAGAGTACTGCACAGTGCTTTATAATCAAGATTGAGCGGATGTCCAACATCCATAGGGAATGCTGGCTGGTTGGAGACTCTAGCCCTTTGATGCCCTTCTGAGAGAAGTGAGGTCCATGAGGCGGGCAGCAGGTATGGCATGGCAGGCCTCACTTGGATACCAGGCTGTGAGTAGTGTGTATCCTGACTGCAGCTAGCTGGAGGGGGGTGGGGTGGGGGGTGCACTAAAGGACAAGAACTAAGAAAGTCCCCATGATTGAAATGACTAGAGAGAAATGACCAGAGAGATGGTCATGAGTACCTTACCCCAGGATTGGTAGGTTGGGGCACCCAGAGTCTGGGAGAGGCAAGCCCCAGGTTTTCTCCTCCCTTTGACCACCCCCATTCCCCGCAGAGCCTAGCCCAGGCCTCTGCATCCAGGAATCCTGCCCGCTGAGGTCAAGTTGTGGCCAAGCCCTGAGCAGCGAGCTGTGGGATCAAGGAGTGGCCCTTCCTTCCTTCCTTCCTTCCTTCCTTCCTTCCTTCCTTCCTTCCGTCCGTCCTTCCTTCCTTCCTTCCTTCCTTCCTTCCCTAGCCCTGGTGAGCAGCTTCCATGTAGCCAGAAGATGCCAGGCCTCACATGTGCAGAGCCCCCAGCCCAGGTGTGATGAACTCTTGGCATTCTCTCTGGGCATCACAGTCCCAGTCCCGAACATTTGGGTGCTCATATTCCAAATATCCATACCCTGGTTTCTGCTCCAGTGGACACCAGGCCCCGACCCATTCTCAGAAGCTACTTACACTACCACGTAGGGCCATGGCTCAGAGCCACCTTTGCAGGCAGGGAGGTTGGTGGCCCCATGGAGAGTGACTGTGATGATCTCTTTATTGGAAGGAGACAGGTGGCTGATGACAGATTCCACAGTCTGGGTGGTGTCCAGGGGGTCCTCTGGGCCCTCGGCAACCTGTGGAGAGAACCAGGGCTGAGTTGCCTCTTCTGGTGTGGTTACCTCCCCTCCCCTCCCTCTAACTCTAGTTTTCTCATGGTCCTCTCCAACTAACTGTGTCTTGCTGTCACTCCCTTACCCAGTCTAGAACGACAGGTCCCAAAGGGGCAGTTGTTTTTGACCCCATTTTCTCCCTACCTCTGCTCCACAACCCACCTCTCTCCCAGTTTCCCTCCTGCCTCTCCCCCAGTCCTGGATCCTTCGCTTCCTGCAGAGTGAAATAGGCCACCTCACCTTTCAAGTCCAAGTCCAGTCCCACCGCTAAGCTGTTCCTTTTGCAGGTATCCTTGCCTGTAATTCCCAAATCCCTTCTACTTTTGAGGTCCTAGCAATTGGCCTTCTCTGTCTTTCCTGTAACCTTACCCCAGTTCACCTCAGATGTCCCCTGTACAGCGCTTTACAGTTTACAAAGGTTATCTATGGAGTCACCCAATGCATTAATGGAGATGAATGAATGTGTCTGTCCCAGATGCCTCATCCATCTTCAACCCAGAGAACCCTGTGGACCAGGAAGGAGGAGAGAGGTGCCTGCCCACACATGGCCTCCTAGGCTGGTTGCCTCAAGCAGACTTATATTCAGGGGTTCAACAACTCAATAGTTTGTGGATTCATGGCCCAAAGGACCATGGTGATGAGAGCAGCTGAGAGGAGACAGAAGCTGCAGCTTGGGGCAGTCAGGGAAGACAGCTGGGAAGAGGAGGCCTTAAAGGGTTGGGAGAACATGCATGGGTGAAGCAGGGAAGACAAGCCAGAAAGCAGAACACTGGAGCTGAGGCAGCAGAGTGGGAAGGGGAGAGAGCATCCTGAGACCCAGGACAGGCTCAGAGTGTCTCTGGAGACTTCAGGGAGTCAGGGGATGTGGCGAAACTGGGTGTTTTTTGGTGAGTAACAAGAAGGCAATTAAGAATCAAGTAAAACTCTGGGGTAGGGAGGGTGTGGACATGGGGCTGCGGTGACTTGGGGTATCCTGGTCCCCCCTCTGCCCTGAACCACTCACTCTCTCCCAGTGCCTGGACTTGACATTGACACAGTTGACCCAGATTAACCTGGCAGGAGGCCACCCCCACCTTTCCTTTGTCTTGCTGATTGATTGGCCAAGGAGGGGCCCTCCTGGCTCTGAGAGAGGACCAGTGAACCTCTTCAGATTGGAAATGGGGCCCCAGGGAGGGGGACACTGCAAGCTGACCCTCTTATCTGGAAAGTTCAGTTTATCAAAGCCTGCATTTCAGGGCAGACCCTGGTAAGGTGGGGGAGTCCTCAGGATGGGAAGGATCTGTGGAGACCACTGAGAACAATGGCCTATTACATAGAGGGGAGACCCAGGATGGGGTGACAGCCCTGGCAGGGTGGGTCCTGATGCGTGTAAGGAGAGCTGGGTTTAAACCCCAAATCAGTCATGCTCCGAGAGTCTTTCCCCAGCTGGACCATGAGGGCTTGGACCAGCTAGGCGTCCTAGGGACATTGGCTTCTGGCTCCTGGAAGCCTCCAGGCAGAGGAACAGGAAGAGCTGTTACTTCATTCAGTTCTCACAACAGAGGTATGGGGTGACCACAAATGAGCCCCATGCTACTCCAGTTTTATCAGCTGTCCCGCCAGCCCCTCCTTCACACCATGTCTGGAATCTATCTTCACTGTCTTCACTTCGAGCACTCAGGTCCAAAACAATGGATTTCTGCACTTGATTCTTTTTTTTTTAAATTCTCACCCGAGGCCCTGGCCGGTTTGGCTCAGCGGTTAGAGCATTGGTCTGCGGTACAGAGAGACCCGGGTTCGGTTCCCGCTAAGGGCACGTACCTCGGTTGCGGTTTGTCCCCGGCCCTGGTTGGTCGCGCGGGTGGCAACCACTCGATGTGTCCCTTCACATCGATGTTTCTCTCTCTCTCTCTTCCTCTCTCTCCCTCTCGCTCTGTCTGAACAAAAAATGCAAAAATGTCCTCGGGTGAGGATAAAAAAAAAAAAAAATTCTCACCCGAGGACATTTTTCCATTTTTGTTCAGATAGAGCGGGAGGGAGAAAAACATCAAGGATGCACGACAGGGCCGAGGACAAACTGTAACCGAGGTACACACCCTTAGCGGGAACCGAACCTGGTCTCTCTGGACTGCAGGCCGACGCTCTAACTACTGAGCCAAACCAGTCAGGGCTATGCATTTGATTCTTAATCACTTTCTTGTTTCCCTCTGTCTCCCTTCTGCCCTGCCACACCTCACAGAGCAGCCAAAATAAACCTTTACACATTCTCTGCTCAACCCTGTCGTAGCTTCTTTTTTCATGCTGTTTCACAATACTGCAAGGACCTGGGAGCTCTGGCCCAGGAAACTGACCTCACCCTGGGCCCCTCGCCCACTCCCTCAAGGCATACTAGCCTCCTAGTGGTTTCTTGAACACACCAAGCTGCCTCCTGCCTCACAGCCTTTCCCTGGCTGTCCCCTTTGCCTGGCCTGCTCTTCCCTACCGGGTCATCCCTGTGGCTTGCTCCTTTACTTCCTGCAGGTCTAACTCATGGTCGGAAAGGCCTTCCTGGTACAGGCTGGTGCTCTTGCCTAAAAGCATTACTGCCTAGGAGGTGAGAATCCCATCCCCAGCCCCAGAAGTGCCAGCCCTACAAAGAGATCCTTCCCCTCCTTCTGGCTGAGGTGGGGGGTGTCACCCCTACTTCAGCACCCAGCAGGCCCTATCACCACCTGCAGGGGTCTTGTTACCCCTTCTCCCCCCTATTCCTCTTCCAGGCCAGGGTGGGAGGAAGGGGAGGGAGGTCTACAGAAGGAACCCCTGCCAAATGGAGGGGGGAGGGGAGGAAACAGCCACAGAGCCACCTCCTCCCCTCATGGTCGGAGATGTTGCCTTTTCAAGGTTCCACCCTCACTGCTCCCCGCCGCCCCCCACTCCCCAGCAGGTTGCTCTCCTGGTTTGGTGGTATAGGAGCAAGCCTAGCAGACTGGGGGTCCAGAGACCTAGGTTTTAGCCCAGCTCTGCCTCCAACTCTCTGCACAACATCTCTGAGCCTCAATTTTTCCACCTGGTCAATGGGTAAATCTGGAATGGTTTGTAATGCAGTCTTCCTGGTGATAGCCTAAGGTTCCTGCAACGAGGTCAGGAGAAGCAACTAAAATCCTTCCCACCCCCAGATTCCCAGGAGGAGGCTCCATTGGTGGCCCCAGCACCCTCCTTGCTGTGAGGACACAGGGCCTGTCACAAGCTCCTTATGGACCCAGAAATGAGGGCCCAGCTGAATGACAGTTGCCTAAGAGCTCTCACTGACTACCTGGGCAGCCCCAGAGCCCAACCACGCATTTTGCAGACCAGACCATGAGTTGTGTTCCCTCTCCATCCTCTACATTCTCTACCTCCTCCATGCCTCCCCATGTGGACAGCCTTCTGGGAAACACAGCTTGCAGGGGGTTGGAAAGGAACTGCTTGTGCTTCACTTCTGGGCATGAGACCAGCTGCCAGGCTGGTGCCTCCTGGTGAGGCCTGCAGGCACATGCCCACTGGGCAGTCTGAGCCCAGGGCCAGAGAGGCCTGGGACAGGGGGGAGGCCACGAGCGGGTTTGGTGGGCCAACTTTTCTGCCTTTCCCTGCATCAGGACCAGTGTCCTCTCCCCACACTCACCCTCCTGGGCCTGCATTGGAGAAATGATCAGGGAATAGAAAATGCATGTGCTGAGTTACATGTAGGGGAGCAAAATAAGCTGTGGGTAATGGTGACCCCCCCCCCATCCCAGTCTCAGTCCCCACAGACCCATCTGTGGGGTGAGATGAATTAACCCTGGAGGAGTTTTCACTTTTCTGAATATGCTTCCTGAAGGCTGACAGCAGAGCTGGGTACTTGCTCTCCATTGGTTAGTCCACCCAACAATGCTGGGGTGCAGACATCGGTGCACAACGTTTGCAGGTGAAGTTTAGTTCGTGTACAGAGCAGCCCTCTCAGCTCCTCCACCAGGGCCTGGCACACAGCAGGCTCAGAAGTTGCTAATTCTAATACCTTACCCTCCAGACAGTTTGCTTTGCCTTCAATAAGCCAGGATTAGCCAGTAAATGTCCCAAGGGACCTGGACAGCCTATTTTGGGGTGTGTGAGCTGGTGGGAGGAGACATGGGTGAGAGTAGGAAGATTGGACCCAACAGTGAAGAAGTTAATGGCCCATTGATTCAGCTTCCAGGGCTGGGGCTTAATTTGGTCCTGGTGGGGAGACAGACCCCTCTCTCTCTCCAGATCCTGTCCACTGCCACCCCTTTGCCCCAGCAACCTGGGAGGCAAGGAAGCTCAATTCTACCTCCAGAAGGGCCCTGCATCTGAAAGCTGGGGCCAGAGGAGGGGGTGCTGGCTTGGAGGCATGGGTTCTGACTGCCTCTGATCAGTAATATGGACAAGTTATTAGACTCCAGGGGCCTCAGTTTTCCCAGTTGTATCACAAGGGCTTTGGGATAAAAATGATCCCTCATGTTTCTTCTAGTTTCAGCCTCTAAACTTGCCTGGGAGTCATGGTGGCCACGATGGCTCTTTCATAGCTGAGGAAACAGGCCCAAAGATGGGACAGAAGGCACTTGCACGTACACCCAGGTGCAGGGCGGAGCTGGAAGTGGGGCCTGGGCTGGTCGCCCTCGCTCTCCGTCCCTGCACTGTTCCCACCAGCCTTTTTTGGCTGTAACTGGCTTTCTCCGGGCCACAGTGCATCCGCACACCCTCAGGCTCACAGCCGAGTAGCCAGCACTCATTGGTACCACCTAGACGTCGTGGAGCTTGGAGCAGGAGAGGCTTTTTAAATGACAAAAAAGTCAGAAATAAAGAGAAGGATTGGTAGATTTGGAATGAACAAAACCTATACCAACTTCTACAATGGTCCAAAATCCACCACAATACAAAGAAAAGACAAACAGGAAAAAATATGTGCAATTTATATAAATGTATGAATGTCCCTAATAAACCAAGAGCTCTGAAA